TCAAGGGGAAATCAGTGTTTGTAGAGCATAAGCGGTTAAAGCGCTCACCTGATAATCAACAGGTCAGTGGTTTGATTCATCAGCTGCTCTGTTGAAGAAAGGTCGTTATCTTCCACAAAGATGAACAGTATTAGAAATCCTGCATCCCAGCTCTACTCTGACCTATTGGGATGCTATGAGTCAGGATTGACTAATTGACTTTGAGTTTTGATTTTTTTGTGTGGTTTAGATAATTATGAGGTAAATTAAATCAAGATCATAGACATCCCTAGTAGAGTTTCTTCTGCAATATGGGTAAAGATTATAAAACTTAAGCCATCCTATAATTGTAAGATGACCTATCAGGATAGGGAAATAGAATACAGATATGCAAAACTGAATCTTTGCTTTGCTTGATAAGCCAACTTGAAGATTCTGGAGGTGGGTGGGACCTTATATAGCCAGTCTATAAACAAAGAAAGCAAAACATCTTTGCATGTAAAGTATTTTTATAATTGTTATAATATTTTTAGACATTCTTATTTTTCAATAACCACAAAAAAGTCTATGTTGGAAGAAGTATAACTATAAATGCCATAAATGCAATGATGGTTCCTAGTTGGGGAAAGCGACTAACAGTGCTTTCAGAGACCTTTAGGGGGTAGTTTGCCTGGTAACATGCTCCTAATAAGCCACTTTGCTTTGGGTTTCTGGACATTCCCTGGGGATGCAGGCCATGTGCCACAGAACACTGAGATATTGAGTCCTGGATCAGAAGGCATCCAATACAGTCCAGATGCCATACTGGAGGGATGCGATGTGGAAACCCCACTAGGTCAATGAGATTCCACCTCAAACATACCTGTAACCTGAGGAATTAAGACTGAAATTACATGACATGTGAAGAAGCAGAAGACAGGTCTACCAAGAGTATTGAACTGCCGGTGGGCATACTAACATTTATTTACTATTTCAATGCACTACTTGCTATATTAAGATATGTAACATTCTGGCAGATTTGGGTCTGACATTGTCAGTGAATATTATTGCAAGTTTGCCTGACCACCAATTTCCAAAGTTTGTGCAAATAGCATCCAGTCACATAAGGATTTATTCTGTACAAGTGAATAATCCATGTATTGCAAGATGTAACTAGCCTACACTTGTTCAGTCTCCCTCTCCCATAGTGTTTTAAAATTAGGACCATGGTATCATCAATTCATTATAAACTAAAGGTCCTTTGTTTCAGGGAGATGGTAGATAAGATTCTCTACCATAACTTAACAAGGATATCTCTAAGGTGAACCAGGGGCAGATAAAAAACATAGATTCATGAAAGGATTTGGGGCTGGACTTAATTGTAACTCCAATCTTAAACAATTAGTTCTTACTACATGACCCTGCTCAATGCTCACCCTCATTGAGGGAACACAGAAGGTATGGGTGCTTTAGCAAAGTGTGATGAAGAAATTAGATAGTGTCTGGCTATCAGAGTGGTGTCTGGAGTCTTAAAGGCTTGTTTCCAAAAGCGCAGCCATCTAAGTTAAATGTCAACTAAGCCCACTTGGAACAAGCACACCAACATGCATCATCCAAGGATTGTAAATTATATAGTCCAAATTCGAATAAGGGAATAGTATCAGAGCTTTAATTATGAGATTCTGGTTTGCAGAAGGCTATGGATGGCAGTGGAAGCCCGAAATACCTTTGCGGGGATCTACAGAGGGAGTAAGGATTTTCTTCTGACCAGAACTGAGGGATGGGAATGACCTGGTTCTCAGACAACAAGTATTGAAGAGGAGAATACAGGATATTAAAATGGTAAATCTGCCTTGAAAAGTTAAAACCTTGTCATATGATCTCCCCTATGATACACTTTGGGCTTGGTCTGGTTTTTAATATTCTCTGGGATTTTTTGTTGTTATTTGTTTGTTTACATAGTGGGGTTTATCTTTGTTGTATTTTGTCATTTTGGGTAGCCATCTTGACTTTTTATGTGTTTCCCTATTTTTTGGGGGGGAGGGTATGTGAAAACCAGGATAGGTGAACCTATCAGGACAACAACCAGAATAAGTGTTCATGGGTAGGAAACGGGGGGTGGGAATTCAAGGGGAAGCTGATATCAAGGGGCTCAAGAAGGACAAAAATGTTTTGAAACTGATTTGGGTAGCAATTGTACAACACTGCTTGGTGCAATTGAACTATGAAGTGGTGTGGTATCTGGATTAACTCATAATCAGGTAGTTTGAAAATAAGATGATGGTGAGACTTACTGTCATGGGCTTTGGAAATGTTATATGGATAAACTAATCCCTGGAAAAGGTTATTATGCCTGATAATGTGGATTCTCAGTAAAAAAGAGGAAGTCCCACCAGGAGATGCATCACTACATGGCTGCAATGGTGGTCTCCACTGTAATAACTGTGAAGCTGGCACAGGATTTAGAAGCATTTTGTTTGGTTGTGCTTAGAGTCACTATGAATTGGAACACTCTCAGGAGCACTTAACAACAATATATTTTAGGACAAGGAGAAAAAAATAAGGTGAATATTGCTTGAAAATTTTAAAAATATCCAAATCAAATCTTCATTGTAACAAAATCCCTGACCAATAGATCTTCTGTGCAACGATGGACTTCTTTTTTAATATTCCCACTACAACTAATAATAATAATTCACTCTTGAGTACATGAAATGTGGCTAGTGACTAAAGACAGACTTTTAAATTTTATTTAATACTAATTAATTCAATTTTAAATAGCCATTTATGGTAGAGAATATTGTATTGGATAGCATTCTTATTAAGTAACAAGAATCTATTACACTGATAAATTATATGAACACTATTATATGGAAGATAGTATACTACTCAATTTATGTTAACTATTGAATAGGATTACCATGAAATGTAAATCGATGAATATGGATAATCCCTTAAAACCGTTTCTGGCCCATACAAAGCACTCAGTCACTCATTGACTACAACAATCCTACCATGCTGATGTGATTATAATTATTCAATAAATATAAGAAGATTGTCATATGGGGGTAAAGAAATATATTCTAGATAATGTAGCTAGTATTGTTCAAATAGAATTTGAATGCAGGAAGGTCTTGTGAACGCCATGGAATTATATCTGTTACAATATTGTTATCTGAATGCACTAGCCCAATTATTTTTGGTGATAATATTGACTCTATAGGAGTCCTTGTGGTGTGGTGGTTAGGAGTTGAGCTGCAATCCACTTGGTCTACAGTTTGAAACCACCAGTAGCTCCTTGGTAGAAAGATGGAGTGTCCGGTCCCCATAAACAGAGTCTTGGAAACCCACCAGGGGTCGCTATGAGTCAGCTTTAACTCTAAAACCCATACAGACGAAATCAATGGCAAATTCCTCTCACAAGCTGCTGGAATTCCAGGTGTGCACTTCTTTTGCTCGGCAGATATTCCCACAGATTTCCTTTCTCTCTCCCTGCAACCTTGCTCACTTTCTCTTTGGGATGGAGTGTGGAGTGAAACCTTTAATTTATCCTCGTTGATCAAAAGGAGTTACAGGACCAGGATCAGTAGACCTGATGCCCATTCCTAAATGCACTACTCCACAGCCGATTAACAAACCACTTACGTTTTGGACCCATGGTTTCTCAATCTGTAATATATTGACAAGGGAGCAAACACACAGATCAGGAGAGGAAGCAAGAAACAACCATTGCCTTGTCTGTCCCATAGTGTTAGCATGAAGTGTAAATGAGACAGCGCTTCTAATGCACTTAAAAAACTTCTAACACAGTGCAACCAGAGACATTATTTTCAAAATGATTATACTTGATCCTTAGTCAAAATACGCCGAGATAATATCTGAAGGCATCGGTGTTGTCAAGAATAGGAATGTTTGTGATAATAACGGTGTACTAATGTATTGAATTATTAAGAAATGTGTTTATAAATTGCATGATGATAGTCTTAGTTTGGTCATTTCTTTCTGTTTTAAATAGCTCTTTGGGGAACTCCAAGCCATTAGCAAAAATAGACTACTGAAAAGGAGGCATAAAGGAAGCTTATTATTTTTGTTTATTTCCTTAGGGACTTACCATTTCTAGCAAGTTCAAGAGCAGTCTGCTATGCCTTCTGACAATATTATAAGCTCGACAGCAAAGCTCCACAAAATCTTGGAAATGCTGTGGATTTTTCCCACCTCCGGTAATAAAATATTCCATTTCCGAAGTGAAAATAAAAGGGGCCCGGTCCCTATAAACCAAAAACAAGAGCAACCATAAGCAGGAGGATAAGTGGCTTGCAGGGTTAAATTAGGCAATCACACCTTCTTTTCATCGGAATGTTCTTGTCATTTTCTCTCTACCCTTATGAGTATGCTTTCTTCATTTCGGAGCAGGTAGATACATTTACTATGTTGCTGTGGTTCATGGTTTTCCAGTCCAGACTGGCTCATAGTGACCCTTTATACCACAGAAAGCAACACCTCCCAGTCCTGTGCCACTTATCGCTATTAACTGTGTTGTTGTTCAGGGTTTTAGAATCGGTTCTGGCCCATAGTGCCCCTCAGCACAAAACAAAACGCTGCCTGGTCCTGGGCCATCCTCACACTTGTTCCTGTGCTTGAGTCTATCTTTCAAGGCCCTGTGTCAATCCACCTCATTGAAGGCCTTCCTCTTTCACACCGGTCCTCTACTTTACCAAGGGATTGATCTCCCTGACAGCATTTCCAAAATATATAAAAGGAAGGCTTGCCATTCTTGCATCGAGGGGGCATGCTGGCTGTACTTCTTCCAAGACAGACCAGTTTACCCTTTCAGCAGTGTTTTCAATATTCTTCCCCAGCACCACAATTCAAATGCACACATTCTTGTTTGGTCTTCCTTATCTGGTGTCCAACTTTCACATGCATATAAGGCAACTGAAAATACTATGGCTTGGGTCAAGTACATCTTAGTCCTCAAAGTGATACCCTTGCTCTTCAATAGTCTAAAGAGGAGTGATGCAGCGTTATTTATCTAATATAAAGCATCTTTTGATCACTTGACTGCTGCTTCTATGAGCATTGATTGTGGATCCATGGGACAAAATCCTTGACAACATCAACCTTTTGTCCATTTATCATGGTGTTACCTCTTGGTCCATTTGTGAGGATGTGGGTGTTTACATTGAATTGGAATCCTCACTGAAGGCTGAAATCCTTGATCTTCATCAGCAAGTGCTCCAAGCCCTCCCCCTTTCAGCAAGCCAGGCTGTGCCATCTGCACATCGTGCATTGTTAATAAGCCTTCTTCCGTTCCTGATACCACATTCTTTTTCATCGAAGCCAGCTTTTCTGATTATTTGCTCAGAATCCAATTTGAATAAATATGGTTAGAAGATACAATCCTGACACACACCTTCCCTAATTTTAAACCATGTAGTTTCCCTTGTTTTGTTCCCACAACTGCTTCTTGAGCCATGTACAAGTTCAGCATGCACACAATCGAGGGTTCTAGGATTCCTATTCTTCTCAAGGTTGCCTATAGTAGTTTGTTATGACCCACCAGTCAAAGGCCTTGGTATAGTCAATGAAACAGAAATAAACATCTTTCTGGTATTATCTGCTTTCAGCCAAGATCCAATGATATCTTCTGAAACTGGCCGGAATCCCTGGCAGCAACCTCTCCATGTACTGTTGTGAGATGATGTTCAGCAACATTTCACTTGCATGTGAGAGCCAGGGTATTGCTCTAGAGCTTGAGCATTCTAACTCAGTGGCCTGGCTGCCACTGAAAAGGAATGACAAATTATTTTGTAATGTTAACCTTTATTATCTAAATATTTAATGAAAGAAATGATTTTATATAGGGATATTATCATTGTAAAAGCAATAGAAGGGCTAATTAAAATACCCTGGTAAGTTCTGAAATGGTAGAACAGATCAAGTGTTTAACCTTAAATTATTTTTGTTTTTCAGTCCTTATAATGTAACAGTACTCTTCCCACCAGTAATTAAAAAATAAAATGTTTCTCTTCTTTTTCTTTAGAAGATATGCTAATCTAGAAAAAAAAGTGGTTAAAGTTAAGAGTTTGTAACGTGTTCTTTTAGAAAGAAATTTATGAATAAACCTACTGTACTCTGTCACACTAAGTAAGGGAAAGGGGGAAAATATCTACATGCCATTTCATATTAGACTTACAAAAATATTGATCATTATAGAGAAAACATGGTATTATGTTGTTACAAAGGTAGTCCTGGTGTAGTAGCAGGTTATGCATTAGAATGCTAATCATAAGATCATTCATTTGAATCCACCAGTTACTCTGAGGAAGAGAGATAAATCACTCTGTTCTGGCAAGATTTTCTGTCTCAGAACTCTTAGGTAGCAATTCTACTCTGTCCTACAGAGTCTCTAAGAGTCAAAATCAACTAGATGGCTGTGGGGTTGACTGCTCCATAGGTAATGCCATACTTTGTTGTCCTAACTGTGGAAACAGGGACACAAATAACCAGAAAGAAGGCCTTGTTTCTCTTAACTTTGTCAGTTTTTCTCATGTTGGTTGATACAAAAAGGAATTGAATGAATGAATATTACGTCTTGAGCTGAGGGAAGATTGCAAACATCCTACACTAACCCTTTTTAAATGGGGTCTAACGCCTTGTGATGAATGGAGAAAAGATCAAAGTTGTTAAGGATTTCATCTTGCTTGGTTCCACAATCAACGCTCATGGATGTAGCAGTCAAGAAAGTAAATGACTTGCAGTGGGCACATCTGCTGCTCAAGACCTTTTCAAAGGATTGAAAAGCAAGGATGCTACTTGAGGATTAAAGTACACTTGACTTAAGCCATGGTATTTTCAATCATTTCATATACATGGCATTTTAATCACCTTATGTGCGAGTGTAAGGATAAGGAAGATGAAGAATCAATGCAATTGAATTACAGTGCTGGAGAAGAATATTGAAAAGTACCACAGATTGCCAAAAGAACTGACAAATCCGACTTGAAAGAAGTACTGCCAGAATGCTCCTTAGAGGCGAGGATTTTTTTGTCTCACATATTTATGACATGTTCTCAGGATAGCCCCATTCCTGGAGAAGCACATCAGTAAAGCAGAAGGCAATGAAAAAGGTGATGGACCTGGAGAAGCTGATGGTGCCCGGCTATCAAAAGATATAGCGTCTGGAGTCTTAAAGGCTTGAAGATAAACAAATGGCCATCCAGCTGGGAAGCAACAATGCCCACATGGGAGAAGCACACCAGCCTGTGCAATCATGAGGTGCCAAAGGGATCAGGTATCAGGCATCTAAAACCCAGAACAAAATCATACCCAATGTGAAGGGGGGTGGTGGCATGGAGTGGAGACCAAAAGTCCTTCTGTATACAATTGGACATCCCCTCACAGAAGTGTCACAAGGAAAAGATGAGCCAGTCAGGTTGCAGTATAGCACCAATGAAACACACAACTTGACCTCAATTCTACTTTAAAAATCAGATTGGACCAGAGTATGCATACTGCTACAGATAAGAGCCTACAACACAAGGAATCCAGGATAGATGAACCCCTCGGGGCCAATAATGAGAATAGAGATACCAGGAGGATTAGGGGAAGGTGGGAGGAGATTGGGGGAGTCGATCAACATATAACCCCTTCCCAGGAGGATGAACAATGGAAAAATGGGTGAAGGGTGACAGAGAGCAATGCAAGATATGAAAATAATAATCTATAACTTATCAAGGGTTC